ACAAAGAGGCTCAAGGACAGCACCCAGGCCCTAAGTTCAAGCCCCACAATTGACAAAAAAAAAAAAAGTGAAGTCTTGTCACTTTTTCATTGAAGGCAGGCTGGGATCTTATAAGTAGCTTTTAACAAATAAAGCAGAAATGGTGGTTTGTTCCTTCAGACTCTATGTCATGAAAAGCAATACAATTGGGTCACATAGCCAAGAGACATGTCCTGAGGATGAGCAATTGGCACAAAGAAAAGCCTGTGTGGATAAGAATGAGACTTCTCTCTGGCTTTGGAGGTGGTTCTTCTTGCTTTAGTTGATTTTAGCTCTTATGTCCTCCCAGTACTCAGGAAGACAAGGCAGGATTTTCACCAGTTTGAGACCAGCATGGTTACATAGTGAGTTCTAGACCAACCTGGGCTATATAAGATGGCTTCAAAAATAAAATAAAATTATAACAATAAATGAAAACTAAGTGTTCAGAACCCACAACACTGCTGCAGTGACCAAGAGTTAGTGGCTATAGTTCTAGCTACTTAGGAAGCTGAGATCTGAGGATTCTGATTCAAAGCAGCAGGTGGGGGAGGGGGGCAGGAAGAAAAGTCCTTGAGACTTATCTCCAATTAACACTAAAAAGCTGGAAATGGAGGTGTGGCTCAAGAGGTAGACTAAAGCCAAGGGACAGTACCGAGGCCCTGAGTTCAAGTCTCAGTACAGGCACCAAAAACAAACAAATAAAAAAAAACCCAGGTGCAGTGTGTGAGATCATCAAAATCAAAGCAATCTTCCCCTGAAAAAGAAGCTTGTTGGTGGTCAGGAGAGTTTTCCAGGCACCATCCATGCCTAGGAACTGGAGCAGAAGGCTCAGCTTCTTGGAAAGGAAAGAGGCCAGATCTCATGGTTTCTGAGAAATGTCTCCAAATTACATACTGTTCCATCTGCTCAGATTTCCCAGTTTGACAACCCTATGAACTGACATTGGCCCTATTTTGCAATTTTCCCCCACATCTCAATTCTGTTCATCCTGAGCAGGATACTGTGAAGGAAAATGTGAGGACTTGGGGATAGGAGAGATGGGGTTAGAATCCTGTTTCAGATATGAATTCAACAGATAATGTTGTGCCAGTTGTTGGGCCAGCTGCAGCCCCTACAAAGTTAGATCAAAACGAGGGGACTATATAACCACAAAAATAAATGTAAAACTTTACTTTGTATGTCCCTCCCCCACAGTATAACCCCTGCTTTCACTGTATTTGATGTCGGTATAATTTGTGGAGGGGAAGGGGAAAAAAATCATTTAAATAGGGATACAGGTGGACTCATTGCAACAATGAGATGTACAAGTCGTTATGTCGAAAACGAACTTTACAACTTTGGTGGGGGGGGGCCCTGCGGAGTGAGGAGAATTGGGTGGAGGGGCAGGAGGAGGATGGGAAGGGATGGGAAGGGGAAACAAAGGAGGAGGCTACAATGCTTGATAAGAAATATACTCATTATCTTGCCCATGTAATTGTAACCCTTCTGTACAGTATTTTCACAATTAAAAAAAAAGAATACAAAAAAAACCCCAAAACTTTACTTAGCTGATAAGGGTATGAGACCGGATTAGGGGAGATCAAGGAAAGTTATGCTGGGGAAGAGAGCTAAAAGGAAGAACTAATTAACCTAAGAGTAGAAGGAAGAACTTTCTAGACAAAAGGAACAGCATATATAAACAGTGACAAGAGAGATAAGCTTGTGGCTGTGCTGAAAACAGGTGAGTGCAGCGAGAGCTATGGAAAGAACTGGATGCAAGTGAGAGGTAGCTAGGAGGCCATCTAAGCAGGACTTGGCAATAGTAGTTAGAAATGCTTCTCGGGCAGGGAATGTGGTCTTGTGGTAGAGTGCTTGACTAACATGCACAAGGCTACGGGTTCAATTCCTTGGTACCACATAAACAAAAATGAAAAAACAAAAAATGCTTCTAGCTGAAATAACAACCTAGTCAATAGTCTTAAATACATAAATGTGTATTCTGAATCTTCACTTAATAAGAAGTTTGGTAGAGCTGGGCACCAGTGCCTCACACCCACAATCCTAACTACTAAGGAGGCAGAGATCTAAGGCTTGAGGTTCCAAGCTAGCCTGGGAAGAAAAGTTCATGAAACTCTTCAATTAATCAGCAAAAAGCCAGAAGCTGAAGATATGGGTAGAATCACACTTTTTTTTTCTTTTTGGTAGTGGAGCCTGAACTCTGGGGCCTGGGCACTGTCCCTCAGCTCTTCAGCTCAAGGCTAGCATTCTGCCACTTGCACCATAGCACCACTTCTGGCTTTTTCTGCTTATGTGGTGCTGAGGAATTGAACCCAGGGCTTCATGCATGTAAGGCAAGCACTCTACCACTGAGCCATCTTCCCAGCCCTACAATCATACCTTGAGTGATAGAATACCAGTTCTGAGTAGAAAAAGCCAAGTGAGAGAGAGTTCAAGTCCCAGTATTGGCATGCACAAGTGTGGGCACGCACATGTGCATGCACTCGTGCGTGCGTGTGCACACACACACACACACACACACACAACCACCACCCAAAACAAAATAAAGAGAACAAAAACCCCCACAGTAAGTGATATATTGAGTAGCATAATCAGCAAATATAGGAAGGAAGCAAAGAACTTGATGGTTGGTATCATTAGCTGAGTTGATAATATTGAAAATCAGGAAGTGGCACTGTGGCTCAAGTGGGAGAGCACTCGCCTTGAGCTGAAGAGCGAAGGGACAGCGCCCAGGCCCAGAGTTCAAGCCCCACGAGCCACAAAAAAAAATAATTAAAAAAAGATAATATTGAAAATCAGCTGTTCCATTTTAGATATACTGAGTTTGAGATATGTGGTAAACTTAACAATGGCCTTCAAAAGATATCCACATCCTAATCCCTAGAACCTATAGTGTCATTTTATGTAGAAAGAGATTTAGTAGTTGTGATTAAATTAAGGGTTGTGAAATGAAGAGTACCTGGATATCCAGATAGACCTATATGTCACAAGTATCCTCTTAAGAAGGAAGCAACAGAGGGAGATTTTGCTCCCAGAAGATCTAGTTACAGAATGGTAAGACACTGAGAAGATGGATTATCATGAGAAAGAAGCAATAGAAGATATGATAGTGAAAGTTGTAATAGCTAACTAGATTCTTAGAAACCGAAGAGATTCTTCTCTCAGCTTCCAGAAGGAAGCTGGTGACACCTTGACTTTGGACCAATCAGACTTTCAAACATTTCAGACTTTTGGTCTACAGAACTAGGAGAATAAATGTGGAGCCCTTGGCACTGTTTTATTGGCTGGTACTGGGGTCTTGTCAGAGTGACAAATTTTTCTGGTTCCCAGTCTCCTGAGTAATTAGGATTACAGGTGTAAGCCACTGGCACCCAGCTCAATTTGTGTTGTTTTAAGCTACTAACTTTGAAATGATTTTTCTTTCTTTTTCTTTCTTTTCTTTTTTCTTTCTTTTTATTTATTTCTTTTCTTTTTCTTTCTTTTTTTTTATTTTTTGCAGTGCTGAGGTTTGAATTCAATTCAAGGCCATGTACTTGGTATTCTATGGCATGAGCCATGCCTTCAGCCAAGTTTGTAGTTTACAGTAGCTGGAAAATGTTTTAAAACATCTAAGAGTTCAAAGTGTGGTAGTATGCATCTGTATGTAATCCCTGCCTTGGGAAGCAAGAAGGTCTCAGAGTTTCAAGAGTTCCAGGCCAGCCTAACTACACACCTATACTCTGTCTCAAAAAGACCTTTAATAATTAAAAAAAAAAAATCTTGGGGAGACATCTGTTCCAAGATAGAGCGTTTAGCTAGCAAGCATGGTGCCCTGGGTTTAATCTTCAGCACTATAAAAATAAGAGGAAAAAAAGAAAAAGAAAACCACCTATTAGGGGTGGGGAACTTTTTCTTCCCAGGGCCACTAGGATGTTTATAGCATCATTACAGGATATTTATAACATCATTAACTGTCTGTCTCAGAGCTGGGAGTTCCCCCCCCAAAAAAAAAAAGATGCTCATATGATAAGAGGGATGAACTTAAAATATAACTTTGAACATCAAATACAAGTGGAGGGCAGATAAAGGGGGAGGCGGGGCATAGTTATATTACACCTACGAGCTGTGCGTCGCTCAGCAAGCTTTGGGGAAGGATACTGGGGTGTAAACTCAAGGTTCTGGCTTTTCCTGGCTGGCTGGAAACGTACTCTACCATTTGAGCCACGCCCCCCAGTGTCTGATCACTTAATTCTGAGCCACACACCAGGACCTGAGCAATCAATCCTGTCCGGGCACATCACGCTATTTATACGCATTCTCCTCAACCTCACGGCCACTTTGTGAGGTTGTTGTTGTTGTTGTTATTACTATTATTATTACCGTGAAGTATAAAAAGGAAAAGCTGATGCTTAGTTTGTCTAAGCCCACTCAGTACCCAGCAGAGACACGCTGCGGGTGCCTCCCGTCCTGGTGGCGGGAACCAGGGCACTCAGCAGAAGGCGCCCAGAGCCTACTTCAGAGTAAGTTCTAGAAACCGAATGGTTTTGACCCGCTTTCCTGTCTTCTTGCCACTTGGGACTTACCATTCCGGTTCAGTCATCTGCAGTCATTAGCGGGTGACAAGAGGTCTGTCCCCTCCACTAGCACTGCGGACATTGATAAGGTAAAACAGCTGGTTTTTCTTCTTCTCACGCAGGTGTGCCAAACTCCAAGTAAAATAAAGATCACAACCCCAGTCAGACGACCAGCTACTATATGGATGCAGGTATGAATTAGAAGCGGGGGTGGGGGGGGGGGGATTAAAGCCTTTGGCCACCTTTTAAACGACCTCTCACACTCCGCGTACCTTGGAAGGGAGGCGCGCCTCGAGAAACACCGAGGGCGGGAGAGTTTAAATCCCCGAGTCCCCGCCTCCTGCGTGCCGCACGCGCACAGCTCCCCGAGCCGGCCCCTCCGAGGGCCTTCTGCGCTTGCGCGGGAACCCGGATGTGGATCCACGCGGTTTGAAAGTGAGTGGTGCTGAAGGAATGGCGGCGCCCGGAGTTGCTGCGGATGGTGGCCATTGGTTTTCGGCTTTGGCGCTCGGGGTCACCTTCCTCAAATGCCTTCTCATTCCTACCTAGTAAGGACCTGCACGGCCAGGGGCTGGGCGGGAAGGCCCCGCGGTGGGTCGGCGCGGGAGTGAAGCTGGTGGTAATCCTGGGGATGCCCGGGAAGGAGAGCGTCCGGCCCTGCGCTCAGCAGTGCGCCTTTGTCGGGAGCCCCGCCGTGCGGGAGAACTGCTGTAACAGCTGCGGCTGGTAAGGGCTCGCGAGTCATCTTAGAGTCTGTGGGCCCCTGGGTCCTCATCCTAATTGGCGGGTTTAAGATCACCCGCCGACACCGTTCCGCCAGGGTCGGCCTCTCCTCTGGCACCAGCCACTCAGTGCTCTCAATCGCCCACATGCAGTGGAGGGCAAAACATTTCCAGATCTTCCCCTCCGTGGAGTTGATGGCAGCAAATAAGACCAAACAGGGAAGCTTCAGAGGGTGATAAGGTCCGTGAAGGAGATAGCGACTACGTGGCAGAGCCTTGACTCCTCTTGTAGGAGGTGATGTTTTAAGAGTTAAAATCCAGAGAATGAAAAACTAAGCAATATTTAAAAAATCAGTTCAAGAATGATGAAAGTAAAGTGCAAAAGTCCCGTGGTGGAAAGCACTCGGAGCATTCTAATTGTAGAATGTACTCACTGTGGGTGAAGAGCAATAAAGGAGGAAAAGTGACACAGGTTAATATAAGCAGTGGCAAGATGACACTGGACTATTAAGATCATATTTAAGGGCTGAAAAGATGGCTCAGTGGTAGAGTGCTTGCCTTGCATGTATGAGGCCCTGGGTTCGATTCCTCAGCACCACATAAGCAGAAAAAGCCAGAAGTGGTGCTGTGGCTCAAGTGGTAGAGCACTAGCCTTGAGCTGAAGAGC